TAGGGACCTTAAGCAACCACGACGGCGACGGCAACGAGGACGTGGAAAAACAAGAGATCTAATTGGCAGAACAATAGCTCAGCACGTGCATTTTGAAACTTTGTACATTTCTTAGCCGTCCTATGCAAAACAACAACGTGAAATCGCCAAAATTTGCGTCGTCTGCGAACCGAAACCGCGACGGCAAATTATTTTAATTTCCATTTGGAACTCAACGCTACTTTTATACGTCATGCTGAAGTTGAGCTGTGGCGCCGTATGAGACAGTAAGCTCATGCAGCCATTTTTGAAATTCTAACTAATTCATTTTTTAATCGAAGTCTTCCTTGGCGTTGCCGTCCTGACTGCTTAAGGTCCCTATTTTTACAGTTTCAAACTGATCCCTATCGAAAACGAAACTGATGTATTGTATCTTAAACTGGGGACCGGCATTCGATCGACCACTTGAAAACACACAAGGTATTTGTTACGGCAGCCTTTATTACTTTCATTCTCATTTTCATTTGTGTCCTGATCGTGGTGTATGGCACTATCACATGGAAAATGAAAAGAAGGAAGGAGAAAATGAAAGAGACACTGTCCTGTCGCCAAAACCATCGAGATCAACAATTGAGGAAAATTGTCTGAAATACGATGGCCATTGTTGTGTTCTCTGTTTTCTGTATGATGCCACTGCTTATCTTTTTATTTCCTCGAATTTTTCTTTGGACTGGGGAGTCACCACCCATTTGTGCAATTCAGACAGTTGTCTCATTTATTTCTGTCTTTCTACTACGTTCTTCATTGGAGTACAGACGATCTCTGCATTTGTTTTATCTTTAGCAAGAACTATCGCAATGGCCTTAGGCAATGTCTTCATTGGCTGGCCTCAGTCGTAGGATATCAAGTTTGCAAGACAACTGCTAAATGCAAACGATGAACAGCTCCTACCGAAACAGCTCTCTTCAGATCCACTCAAGTAGCGTACAAATTACCTCGTATAGCAGAAAAACTTTAGCAATATTTATTAGTTTTTAAATTCCAGGTTAGAAATAGGCGAGATATCATTGGGTATGTACTTCAAGCTTTGAAGTTTCACCGAGATGTCTAGCAATGTTATGTAAAAAATTTTATTCTTTTGATTTCATAGGGAGTACTTCGGAGTGTTTAGTAAGATCTAAGTGCAACGCACTTGGCCGTATGAACTAAAAGGACATTCAAGTTACGCTGATATCAAGATATATTCGTTCTCTCCGTCAAATGGTTTTCCTATTGCAAGATCATGAAATTTAATCGTGTACATCTCAGCTGCAGAGCTAGAATTAAGTCACTTATCTCATGCGCATTTACGGGCATTTTTGGTAGGGATGAACTAAGAATCTACTTGCATGCTTAAAAAGGCGTAAGCATACAGTTATAGATTTTAATGAAAAAAGTCACAAAATAAATAAACAAATTGAATAAAAACTACATTTATGCGCAATCCAAACCACATTTAAGCACAATATAGGATAACTAAACGTTTTCGCTTCTTTCCAACTGACCTTCCTAGCGTGCGCGTGCATTGATTAAAAATCATATTAATTTGACTTATTCATTGAGGTTCGCGGTAGAAAATGTTTTCCTAGTAGGACTTAATTCCCTTCCCTCCGTTTAATGTCATTTGATATAAGCAGCCACGAGTTTATGTGACACTTTGTCGCCTATATATTCTTTAATTCCCACCCCTAACTTATATCACATGTCTAACTTGCGTGCGGGTCCATAACACGCCTCTACAACTGTGACTGCACAGGTGATCAGTTGTGTAACCGATATTAATCTTCAAGGAAGCGTACGTTTCGCATGGCGTTCGCCAAAAGCGTGTTAATTCAGTAGCGTCTAATATAGCTTTTCAAAAATATCAGAGCTCTCAAGTACTAATAATTGAACAGTCTTCCTTCTTATATCATGCAAACCATCTAAGGCTACGAATACCCATCTGTTC